TTTCATTCCCTCAGTTTATATTTTACACAAGAACAGTACCAACATTTAGCGAGAGACTTTGGACCCAGCATTCAAAATCTTAAAAGACTATGCCTACCTTTTCCCTAAAGTGAAGTGTTTGTTTTTGTGTGTATTTTGCAGCTCAGGGCCACTGGACCTTGAGTAGCCTGCTAAATAATCAACCTGTCAGGTGCAATTTAAAGTGTGTGCTAGAACGGGAACTAGTTGAGGCATCATGTGTCTTCCCACCTTTATTCCAAAATCATGTTAGAGAACTAGACCAAACCTTTTATGTAGGGCTTTGTTATGTGTCGTTGTCTTTCTATACCGAGGTTGCAAGTGTAAGAATATGTCATTTTTATTATTCCTTCTTTTATTATTATATAATAAAGTCTTCCATGATTGCATTTGGTGAAAAGGGCACACGGGGCAGTGAGCCACACTACCTCCTGCATGTGCTGTACGCCCACCTACATGAATATTTGTGATTCACTGGCTTGCCTGTTTGAACACTGTCACACATCCCCCAGCCTAGTGATGAAAATTATTTATTCATAATTTGCCTTCTCCAATGAAGTAAATAAAGATTTCTTTTGGTCTCTTTGTAAGTGTGTTTTATTTCCGCTGTGGTCACCGAGTCTGACTAATTAAATTGAAAGTATTAAGCACTGTCATTCTTTTGTAATGAGCACATTAGCCTTACTGGGTGTGGGGGTGATGCCTGTGTCACCAGACAACAGAGAAATGATGACATTTATTTGTGCCTGAACGTCAGCTACAGAGTGAAATCAGCCTCCACTGATTCAATAATGCTAATGGTTAATTGGAACTAAATTCAATTCAACCATTAATGCTCAGCAGTCATTGGAGTTTTGAGGAGTCACTTTGGAGTGTTTGCAAACTGATCCTCGTCTGTGTCTGGTGAAATCTCCTTTGGATGCCACGTTTTTAAAACAAATGAAGGCGCCCTTGAAATGAAATGACACAAACAGTCAGCAGGTCAGTCATCACATGCAAGATAAAACTGCAAGGGGACCTTCATGATCTTTAACATCTATGTTAGCTTGGCTTTCTGGAGGGTCAGGCCTTTTATCTGAGCCCTATTTATTTTTGTTACTTTGAACATAGTAATTTTAATAGAATTTTAAAGAAAGGGAGTTCTCCAGCTTTCTGAGGGCCTTTCAAATTTTTTCGTCGGACATTGGCTGCTTTTCAATCATTTTCAGTTCAGTCCTTGTACCTTGCACCAATAAGGTAATTTCCAGAGCTGTTAGCTAAAAAAAATCTGACACGTTGCTACATGGTGTGCAGTGTGTCCTGAAAAAGTTTGAGAAAACCGTTAAAGTGAGGACAAATGAAGTGACAGATCTAAAAAAAAAAAATTTAAAAAGTATCTGAAAGTTATGTTATCAATAGAAAAAATCCATCAAGTATCTGACAATGGGCCTGAGAGCACCTGCCTAATTAGTGTGATAAATCTGCGCTGAAATCTTCTCAGAAATGATGTCAGTGGAAGAGTGACTCAGTGATTGGCAACAGCTTCAGCATGGGAATGATCCCAAACTGCCAATGCAATAAAAGCATACCAAAGCCCAGAGTGGAACACTATCAGCCGGTACAGCCCTCCTCAGAGCCCGGACCTCAGCATCACTGAACCAGTGTGGGATCCTCTTGGGATCAAGATGTCTGTCAAGAAGCCTTGACACTATTCCTGCTGATTACTCAAATAAATTACAGAAAGCTGAAGTTAGTTCAGGCTGTGTTGAAGAACTAAGGTGTTTTTCAACTGTACCATTGTTCTGTGTTTTACCAGCAGTTGTTATGAAATGGTTAAAATACCTGTAGAACTCAAAACTAGTTTTTGCTCCATGCTATAATCATGGTTATTTCTCGTATAAAGTTGCCCATTTGAACATCACGTTCTGTGCAGATTAACGTGCTTTTAGAGCTGGCCTCAAGTGGCCACTTGAAAAACTGCAATTTTTGGCATTTTAGCAAAACCTTTAATTTTCAACCCCAGAGACTGACGCTTTTAAATAACTTGGGAATCTCACATGAATCTGCAGCGCTTCTCTGCCTTATAACAACTCATAATAACCTTATGCTCTTGGCTCTCTTTCATACATGATACATAAAGTAGAGCTATTTCCTTTAAGTGGCTGGTGGAGACCAAAGAAGAGACCAAAGAGCCAGTCAGTATTAGAGTTACACTATCAAAATAATCAGATACAAAACTCCAAACTAACAGTTCTATTGCTGCATACTGCAATAACTGCTGAAGGTGTAAAAATAGTGCTTTGCTAATACACTGATATTTTATACTTATAGTCTTCTTCTGCTACATAAAAACTGTTACTGCACTTGAGTATTAACTTTTTATTTATTTATTTATTTACATATATGTTTAAGGTTACTCCTGGATTTTGAAGAGAACATTTGATATCTAAAACAACAGACAGAAAATGTGTTGGTCTTCTGAAGTGCATTTACATTTCAACCCTCTATCAGTGGCTAAAATGGTTTTCCTTCTCAGCCTCTCTGATTATCTCATTTTAAACCAGGTCCAACAGGTGGAAATTATGCTAGAACAACAACAGAAGAACAGAACAAAGTCTGCAGCAGAACTTCCATGAGTTCCATGAGGTGAACCACTAGATTAAAATCAGTTAGTGGCTCCTTTAACAGCTAGGACACTAAAATACTTTTGATGTAAAACTGTCATGCTAACAGCACTGATACACTTTTATTTGGGATGGATTTTGTGATTATTTTATTGTTACACTGATACTTCTGCTGGAGATTCAAAAGACCACCGTCAGACTAGAGTTCTCAGAATATTTGTCAGCACAGATATGTTGGAAATGAAGTCCCTACATTATTCAAACACATCTTTAAAATTTTATCCATAGACTTCAGGATCATTTGCAAGGAAATGGAAAACAGTTTTTGCCTAGGAATGGTCCAGAAGATTGATGGAAAAATAGAGTGGTCCGATAAGATATGGACTCTAATAGACTTTGACAGCAGAGAGTGTGAGCAGTGACTCCGGGATTAATTCACTTTTCATCAGCTGCTTCTAAACAGTTGCAGTCTAAAAGTATTTTTCCATTACGCCCTCCCAGGGGCCACTTTCTCCTGGACTCTAGAGATGTGATGTAATTCTTCATAAGATCTAAAGTACTCATGAGCATGTGGTAGTTTCATAAGAATCCTCCAGAGGTGTGAAGAATATTCAGAGATGTACTTTACTTCATTTTTTTTAAACACAAGATTCTCCCTCAAGGGTTCCATATACAAAGGGCTCGTCTTACAATCAGTCCCCGTCATGTGACTCAAGATGACGCTCCAGGGAAAGGGTATAAATAACTTCTAACTTTTAGTAGTTCTGCCAAACTCCAGAAGAGCTGCAAGAAGACACAAGTGGTAAAAAGGTCCACATGAGACACCGCTCTTCAGTTTGGTGAGTTTACAAATCCTGACACTTTTCTTAATGTTTAGTTTGAGACTAAATCTGTTTTTGACTGCTGGTAACTTTTGCTCAACTTTAGGGAAATGCACAAAAACCTTAATTAAAATATAGTAAATGAGCAAAATTTTGAAAGCAAACAAACAAAAAACCCTTAAAACTATATTTTTAAGCAATCCGTGCATGAATAGAAGAGGGTAGCAATTAGCGTTTTCTAAATCGCCTATAGCTGTGAATGATTATCTGTCTCTCAGTGTTGGCCCCGGTTGAGACTGGCGACCTGTATCGGTACCTCGCCTCTTGCCCCAGGACACTGGAGTTAAAAAAAAAAAAAGAGAGAGAAAAGGATAGATAGAATTTTTTTTAACAGTTACATATGTTAAAGACGGAGATAAACTCGTGAAAAATATTTTAATTGTGAAATTTTAAAAACTATTTATGGGGGGGGCACTCTTTAGAAACTTTGCCTTGTGCGTAAAACGCGCGCGTATGGCGTGCGTCAAGTGTACAGAAAGTCTTATATTTATGGATGGAAATCTTTTTTTTTTTTAGGTCCCCTATACAAAAGTTGCACTTAAAAATGGAGCACTCGGAAAACTCCACGGCTTCACCAAAACGCCTCGTCCTGCACGCGCAGAGCACCGGAGACGACAAAAGCGACGGGAACGCGTACCTCTACATACTGATAGTCATGTCTTTCTACGGAGTCTTCCTCTGTGGTATAATGCTAGGCTACTTCCGCTCCAAGAGGAGGGAGAAAAGGAGGGTGAACATATTCACGCGCCTGGTGCACGAGGAGGAACAGCGGGAGTGGGGTGCACTGCCAAAGAAGCACAGCCTGAGCTGCCCCGCTGCGGCCTCGGGACTTCGCTCGATGCAGGTGTCCCTGCCTTTCTACAACAACCACGGCGGCCACTTTGGGAATCTTCATTATGAAAGCGCGCTGGCGTGCGTGCTGTGCACGGAGCAGAGCAGCATCAGTTCCCTGTGCTCCTCCGCGGACACGCGCCTCACCATAGAAGAGGAGTCCGACAGCGGCACGGCGGAGGGACCGGCGGAGGGACCGGAGGAGAGCGCGAAGCCAGGCACCGAGAACAGCGGGGATGATTCAGGCTGAACCTCCCCCATTCCAAAAGAGAAGAAACATCACCATGAGAGAAGATAAGGTTGTCCTCTGACGTCTTACTATCAGAGGAGCCTTAAACAGCCCAACATCAACTTCCCAAGCCACCATTATTCATGATATGAGTTCCATGAAGGGACTGGGAACTGTCAAAGAAGTCTGAGTGTGAAATGTTTTAGATTTGGCTCTCAGACCACTTAGAGGGTGTCACGGCTATGACTGAGTGCCCAGCGGCAGCATGAACCCACACACAGACACCACGTTAGGCCACATATTTAAATGTATATCTGCTTTTATTTAAAACTACAAGCTGAGATTCAGATGTCATTTTACATGTTATATGTTGGAAGAACTTCCAAGTGGTGAATTCTGTTCATGTCAAACTCAGATATCCTCAATACAAGTAAATCAGAGTATTGGCTCATATATTCTATGATTTTACTGTATATTCTTGATTTTTTTTTTCTTCACTTTGTGGTGACGCCTCCCTGCTGGAGCTCCCCACCCTCTCTTTTGACGCCACACTGAGCTCCACTGCACTGGTTTGGGCTGATGACTCACCCTGCTGCAGGGGGATGAGTGGAAGACAGATGACTTTTCTTGTGGGGAAAATATTTTGTCTGAAACTGAACCTGGCCTCTTTCTGGCCCACCCAACTCTAAGTTGTTTTTTTTTTTTTTTTGGGGGGGGGGGGGGGGTGTTTTGTTTTTTTTAAGTATACCTGGAACCCACTTGAAAAATAGTGTAAGCTCTGATGTAATTGTAGCTTTGTACACAATCTTTGAGTTAGGTTTACTTGATGACACCACTGCACTGTACATATGGTTTGCATTTGTCACACTGTAAGGTTTAATTTAAAATTAAATCTTTGTAGTGGTACAGAAAGAATAAATGCTTTTGAACCCAACACAAGCTTCAGGTCTTTTTTTTTCTTGCACTGTAATGATTCACCAATGGAGGGCAGTGTTGTAGTTGTTGCTCCTAACAAATAAGGATGATGGAGATGAAATGAGGAGAAATACTTGCTATTTTTAGAAAGCCTTGATTAATATTAGAATAATGCAAAATAGGGCTGATAATAAGTGTATCGTTGCCTCTGAAGCTCATCTCCTTTGCACATATCCTTAGTTAAACCTCCACAGCTCTGAAAAAAAAAACACAGCAGGGGTTATCACAGTAAACACAATTCTGCTTCTTAGTTTAAACACAGACCATGCCCAAACCTTTACCGTCAGCTAACTAACAAGCCTTAACCCATTTGTTTCCTTATTTATTGTTAATATTTTTTTATTGGTGTGGGGGTTTAAGGTCACAGCAGACCACCTGAGGGATCGCAGACAGCATCTGTAGACCCATCAGCCTCCATTATCGTGTGGTGATTTGACACGGAGCACTAGCAGACAGCAGCAATGATTCACCAAGGTTTTCCTCTGAAGGGGAAAAGATGTCAAGTTTTTAGTTCGCTCTTATGTGAGTGTGTATATGTGTGTGTGTCTTTTTTTTCTTCCACCGCATCATCAACCCTGTCCACCAGCATAACACACGCACACAAACATGGGCTATCAGCAGCGCTGCAGGCTCACAGCTGCAATGACAACTCATCACACCAACATTAGCACCAACAAAGGCCACGGGGAATACAAGTTAAGACTTTATGACGTATATGTATTGACACTGTATCAGCCCTGATAGGCCCACAAGGTGTCTGGCAATGGTCTGGGTCTGTCTTCTTTGTTTATCAGGCATGCTCAATTTAACACCATTGTAAATACATTTCAGTGAACTGAAAGGCAGGAAGTCAGCTACACTAAATATTTGGTTTTATGGATTTATGAGTTTTCATGGTCTTCAGACTCTTCCCGGGAGATTAGACATTTAGTTCTTATCAAGAGAAGTACCCACTCCCCTGAAAGTTCTCATGTGAATCAAAGCAGACCCAATGCGAATGTCAGTGTGATCCAAGTTTATTACCAACATAAAAACTGAAACACTTGACTTCATAAGTATTCAGCACCACCAACACTGTTTAGTGAATGCTTATGCTTGGGACCTAAACATG